AGAAATTCTACTGAGAAATGGTGACACAAACCTATTACCTTAACAGAATATCATCACGATGTTTAACAAGCTGTATTAGGATTTTTATCCGCACATGCAAGACGTGTGTACAAAAAAGTGAGTTAGGATTTACCTTACCTTCAACATGTCCTAACAACATACCACGTTATCAACTTCTGTCACTTTTAAATTAATTTAATGAATCGGGAAAGTAGTGTACCTGATTAAAATTGGTCTTCTTGAATTTTAGTTCTACTGCAAGCGGATTTATAATGTAAAATTTATTTAAATTTATTCCATTAACAGTATTTATCGAACGTTAATAATGCTGTTTCGGAGATAGACTATACTCCTAGGTTAACAATCTAAAGGTGGCTAATTGCCCTAAATAATGTATTTCATATCTTTTATAAATCCACTTACAATCCCTTTGCAGCAACAAAAGCGTTGACTAAAGCCTGTCTCTCAGCATTGCTCATGGGACATGTTCTTTGCATCCACATCACGTACTGTTCCAAAGCATCATTGTCCAGCCTTACATAATCAGTAGTGGTCATACCACAAACCATGTTTCCAATTGATAACAAGTCGTCTGCGGTTATGGTTTCTGTAGTTTTGCTCTGTGTACAAAATTGTTATATTAATCATATAATTTGACTGTTACAACCAAAAACATCGATCGATACAATGTACACCGGTCATTGCAAGCTAATGTATTAAAATTTGACTCAACTTCATTGAACACGCATACAAAATTCAAACCTGTTGCCTCCACAACATTCATATTTACACCCCAATGTAGTCTCACAAAGTTCGTAACCTTACCTACAATATTAAATTACAATATTAAACTTACAAGACAGGTAATACTGTAGAGGTATTTCGCCTGAAGTTCTGTCTTTGAAAGCAGGTTGATATCAGCAAGCCCCAATTGCTCAACAATTGTCAAGCACATGGCAGAGCCGTACTTGTTCAGATCATCCTGTCTATAAAATACAAATACACATTCCTTTTTAATATTTGTATTAAATATTACGTGATCAGCAAAATTAATGGTTTTCCCCTATTATAAGTCGTATGTATCTCAATAGCTAGTTAAGGAGAAATAATGCTTCGCATGACCTTAGATAAGTTCTGTACAGTTATAAAACAGATTGTTATGTTGTTATGTCAGTCAGCTAATTTATTAAGAATTCAGTTTTAAAGCCTTATTACAGACTGAGCTCAATTAGTTCTGTATCATTTTAATAGATAAAATTCAAGTTTACTTTATCAAAATTATATATCTCAATACCGATGTTTAATTCGAGTTTTTTAAGTTAAATATGCTTTCACCATTCGTTTAAAGTTTACAGGGACCATACCGTACTTGCTTAACTAAAATAATAATATCATCAATATCAATTTTAAACCAGCTGAGTGTGTAGCTTATCTTACGTAAATTTGGCCATGATTTTAGGAGACATGTTTGCTAAGGTCGATGTGGTGGTTATTGCTTGAAGGTCCGCAGCCGACGTAGAATCAAAAGAAAGATACTCTTTGATGAGGTTGTGTAGAAAAGAAATCTGAAAGAACGGAAAGTGAGGACGTATAATTTAAAACAAAATTGTAAGGTTAAACATTTATCAGGTTGTTTAAGGTAACAGTGTTTACAGAGAATCACATGTGCATGTTTTAATTCCGTAAATATAAACTTTATTATGTTCCGTTCATTTCACATTGTTTTGCAAAGCCATGGTTTGTAGATTTTTTTTAAAACAACACACAAACAAACAAAAACGAGATAATTTGAAAATAAATATTTGAACTGACCATATCGATGGTGACACATGAACTTTCGGCCAATTTGTTAAGGATATCAAAATAGAAACTGTCCTTTTCAATGCCATTTATCTGTTCATTTGTGAGTGCACAGGTGTATGGGAGGATGTTGTTGATCCTCTGCAACGTTAACGTCACCGACAGTTTATCCATCTCCTCTTTCAGGAACCTAGCCTGCATTATATAAGAAGATACACATATCTAACAAAAAGAAAACAGATAAATTAAAGATCTGTAAAAGGTAGACATTTCATGATCTGCGGTCATTTGTAGTTCTAGCAGTTCTAAAAAAGACATTTTTCTTTTGTTTATACTATTTAAACTCTCAGTTACGGCCCCCAGGTCTATGATTTTGATGGTCTTTTCTGTCATGGTGTCACATCGTTTAAGTAATAGCTTTCCTGATATTATATGAATATTCAATATACTTTGATGCCTGAACTCCCGTCATAAAACCCTTTACATGACTCCTTATGTAAGAAAATGATTCCCGATCTTCTGAGATTAGGAACTGAAGATCAACCTCATCATGTAAGAAACACATTAAGTTACTCCTGATGTGTGACTTCATTACCTAGCTTCTAATATTGAAAGTC